GACGAATGAACACTGAGCGCCTCAACGGCATCGATCCGGAAATGGCCTACAACCGAACCTCCCCAATGAAACAGAACTATGCTTCGCCAATGGGGCCGTCTCAGTACGCCGACAGGGTCACTCGGAATGCTGCTCGTTCGCCGGAGGAAAAGGATGCTCAGTCGGCGACGCCGATTCTGTGAGTGTTTTTACCCTCTGCCACTTCCACCTCCACGCTGTTCTAAGGCCCTAGATTACTTTCATGAGCTAACGACTTTGTCACATTTTTGTAAACATGATATGGGAGAAATGTTTCAGTAATCGTCATTCGAATAAGGGCCTTCGGTCGTGCCCCCAAATATTATTGCTCGTGAGCTAAAATTCCAAAGAAGTTTAACCCCCCCCCACTCAATGCGCCTATGATTAGAGATAAAAATCACAAAATTGCTCAAAAATGTGTATGCTCATACAGTTTTCCCTCACCGGTTCGTTGTTCAGTAGTCGCGGATTTTCTTCATCGAACACGTCTAAAATAGCTGCTAATTATTTTCATTTATTTTCGGGACTAAATACATTTTTTTCATGAAGAAAAATGATTCATGCATTTTCAAGTATTATTTTTAAAAATGTGTTTTTGAATACAGAGCCACCTTGATTAGTTTTCATTTTGAGTTGCATAGCACTTGTAAGTGTTTTCGCGCCTAGCTTTAACCCGTTATTTTGTGAGATGACGCAAAAGTATTACCAAGTCGTTCTAGAATGATAGTGGAAGGTATGTAAGCTAGCCAGTCTCTGGGCAGCTTAACACAAAAAGAGCTTCTAAAATAGAGATCCCAGTCAGAGTAGCAACGTTACATCTTCGTATCGGTCTATCTGTCTGCCTGTATATTACTTGCGCGCGACTTCATTGATCGCGGTAGTAGACGCACTGTATCTACCACACGCTCGCCTCCTCACCTGAGCCCGGTGCCATGACCGAGGGGAACCACAGCAGACGCGTCTTCGACCGCGTTCCCACCCGCCCTCAGGG